GTGCGGTTGGTAAGCAAAGCGATGGGCAATAATAAAGGGAAGGTCCAGTGCAGTTCAGGGAACTTCCCTTTTTAGGCTTGATTTTAACCTATTACATGTGTATTGCAAGGAGCGGAATGAAATATATTTTTCTCATTTGGCCTTTTGTTCTAGTGTAGAGACTTATTTTATGAGATTGAAGAGTACAAAACTCCTTGCCGCAGTATAGTTATAACAAAATTACAAAGAAAATGAAGTTGCTGGTAGCAAGTTCAAGTCTCTGTATGCTGATACTTCATTTTCTGTTTTTCTTCAACGCATGCTGCTTTTTCAAGTGTTCTCTGAAGTCAATGGGTTTATTTCCATTGACCTTGATGGGCTCTGGTTGTTTCAGGTCACAGCTTCCAAACAGCTGGGGCCAGTACAAGTTCTCGTACATATGTATTTTCTCTAAGCAGGTTTTTGTTTTCAGGTGTAGTGGTTCTTCTTGCTAGGCTTTAAATTTGAGTTCTGAGAAACAAATAATAGAAAATAGTTCAAGAAAGTGTTAGAACTGCAATTGGCTTGTCCGTGACTATTCATTTTCTTCTGCTGGATGCAATGATAGCGATGAAGTCAATGCACACATGACAAATAGTCTTTGCAAATAGTGTGATTTCCTGTTCAAAGTGAGTAATGTCTCTGCATTTTCATGTCCAGTTACTGATTTCATCTTGTGCTAGCACTTGCTAGTTTACTTTGAAGTCTTGCATTTGGAAATGACAGTCAACCTGTTGATTTAAATCAAATTCAGTCTCATTGGAAGGACATTTCATAGTCTTGCTTTTGTATTTTATTTTTAAATTTAGGTTTAAAGTGTGTGGTGTTAAGTATTCAGCAGGGAGTTTTTCAGTGTTTGACCAAACAATAGGCAGATACATGTGCTTATGTTTGTTTACATTGCTGTAAATGTAAAATGTACATTTTACATCATGAAAAATAATTATTTTAATATTGCGCAAGTTTGCTATTGACTGTGTTTGTGTATGGTTATTATCTACTTTCTAACTGTTCCAGAGTGGTGATGGAACTGAGCTGACAGCCAAGCCAAAAAGAAGCTTCTACGCAGCAAGAGATTTATACAAGTACCGACACCAATATCCAGTAAGAATATTTTATGGTTTAAAATTGTCTTTTTAGTATAAGACAGTACATAACCTAAACATTCCTAAACCTTTGTGGTGCCCCATAAATATGAGAAGTGAGAATCAAAAAGCTGATGCAGAGCTGATGTCTCCCCCAACATATGCGGGGGGAGAGGAGTGAAACTAGCGCAATGTCTTTTCATCCCAGGTGTACATGCAAACACATGAGATGTGTAAGCCTAGGAACGGTGGTAGGAACCCAGAAAAAGGCTTGTGCCTTGAACATCAAAGAGGGTACATTATAGAGTTTGGATTTCTTCTTATTTGTCTCTTGAGTTCCCTGAGACTGAAGTCCAGGTGCTGCTGTGCTTGCTGCTCTACCTCTGCCTTGATAGGACAAGGTATTAGCCAGAAGGAACTTGTAGATCCTTAAACTGAGTCTTTAAGAGCATGAGTAAAACTCCGTGGTTTTTAAAGCTCTGAAACTATTTTGTCCTCAAATTATTCAAAGAGCACAATATCACTTTCTGGATACTCTTGATAGGTTTTTGTAGGCTGATAATGTCCTATTTCCTTTTTTTTAGCAGAACTTTAAAGATCTTCGATATCAAAATGACTTGTGCAATCTCCGCTTCTACAAAAATAAAATCCCATTTAAACCTGATGGTGAGTAATTGGTGGCAATGATAGTGATAACGAAAGAATGTTCACTGATAATAGTGAAACTGTAGTGACAATTGCAGTGCTGGCAAACTAAAGGTGTGTGGTTATATGTGGTGTAACTTGAACCTCCCACGTTGGAGTAGCATGTTGATAACAGCATATTGATAACACAGAAGCAGGTCATACTTAAAGCAGAGTTAGCTTTCGCTCTGGGGAGGTGGTGCTTTTCTCATGTATTTTCAGAATGATGTAGTACGGGGCGTTGTCTGTACTGCTACTTCTGTACTATGGTGGCACTACCTTTTATTAAACAAAGAGTTGCTCCACTCTGCTGCACGAATTATTGCTGTTTGAATAGGAGTGGCAGGGATATGGGTGTTATCCCTAGTGCTGTGTAAGGGAAAAAGAATGTATTGTAACTACCTCATGTGTGATTATTATTATAACAATAATAAAATAATTTCTCAAAGTCCCTGGTGGCTCTGGTAGCGGAGCAGGAACATTGTATGCAAAGTTCTGCACAAGCACAGGATGAGCTGAAAGACGACAAACCTGCTCTAGAGGGTTTGCAGTCAAAATATGAGAGACAAGAAGGTCACAGACAGATGGGGAAGCAGAAGGAGGCAATTAAACAGTCCTGGTTAGAATGGCAGACAGGAGTCTCAGCATAGGAGAGCTTAGCCATTGGCCAAAAAGATTTTGCAGGCCAAAAATAAGCTTTTGAGTGTTTTAAAGAATAATGATGAGGAGGTTACTTTGAAGGTGTTTGCAGAAAGATTCTCTCAGCACGAGAGCAGCTTGGGAGGAAATACTGAAGTGCACATTGGAGTACAGAAGAAGTGAGACATGGAGGCTGCCATTGAGGCAAGATCCTGTCAGAGGCAGGATCAGTCTCATAGCAACAAATAGGTTCTGATAAGGTATGAAGGGACAGGTCACAAAAGGCTTTGGAAATGAAGGCGTATAGTTTTTCTCTGATGTTACTGAAAGGAGCTCCACAATGGAAGAATGCAAAGCAAAAAAAAGAGGCAGTACAAAAAAGGTACAGTCTAGAAACATGATCATACCAGCAGCATTCAGGGTAGATGTAGGTGTGACTAGAGGGCACTTTTCAAGAGCAGGAAAAGAGGATGCTGAGAAGCAAAATGTCAAAGTTCTGATAGGAAGCTGGATCGGAAAGAGTATTATACAGAAGGATGTAAAGATGTACGTATGGGAAGGTTGAAGAGGAGAGCTGTTTATAGGCAAGATAGTGATAATATCCTCAGCAAGTGAGAAAAACAGGTTATGTGAAAGAAACATAAGACCTTTGTTTTCATCATCTTGAACTTTACCTAGATAGCCACAGGCAGATGCTGAGAGATTGTGTTCTTAGCTTGACTGGAAGAAGAGTTAGATCTGTGAATTACCAGTACAAAGGTGGTGAATTCATGAGATATTACAAAGAGAACAGATACAGAAAGAAAGACGGACACTGAGGATCGTGTGAACCTGAGGACCATGTGCATCTGAGACTGAAAGCTAGATACGGTTGAGGGAGGGATCCTTTAAAGGACAAAATGAAGGAGTAATTTAAGAGGATTAGCCAGGAGAAAAGAAGAAGCCAGAGGAAGGCTTCCCTCCTGAAATTTGTAAAGAAAAAAATTTCTCTTAAAATTTTAGGAGAAAACTACAGTTGGTGGTGCTGAAAGTAGCTGATAGGCCATGGAGGCTGAAGTGTTGATGGCTGTGAGCTCTGGTTATGCCAAAGTTTTTATTGAGAATGGGAAAGAGCAGCCACCACCTTGACCTAAGTCTGTGGATCTGTGAGAGTGTTCGGAGGGAGCCTAAGCTACCACATTAGGGACTGAAGTACTGGGGAACATTATTAAAACCGGACATTTCTAGGGCAATACCAATCTGAAGTTTAATTCCATGACCTAGAGATTTAGCTTGTGCTTTCTGACTCAGAGATGGCCTGTCTCTCTGCCCTGGGATTGAGCAGCAAGTTTTCCAATACTTGAAATGCAGTTATATTGAAAGCTGGATGCAGGTTGGTGATAGCAGGAGGTCACCTCTTAGTGAGGTCCTTTTCCAGTCTTGCCTGCACTGGAAACCCCATCTTCTTAGCAGTCCCTTTGAGTGGATGCTTTCTCCATTTCTTGAAGAAAAGTACCAAATAAATTCTCCCTTGTAATTGGGACCGAATTGGAAATTTTCACTGGGGAGGGAGAGAGATCTCCTATGTATAGTAGAAGACTATCTACATGGAGCTTTGGGCCTATTAGGTCACTCCTGTGCTATTTGACTTTGGGAGAGGCTGTGCTGCAGTGATAAAACCTTTGTTGGTTTCAGAGTAGAAATAAATAAGCTAACACTGAGCGTTCGGTCATGGAAAGAGACTAAGTTTTTGGAACAAGGAACATCCTTTTATGTACTTTGTGTATTTGTGCAGTGCCTGGAAAAGAAGTGCCTTGGCCCATGACTGAATTTCATGGGCATGGTCTCAGTGCAAAGAATGGTTAATTTCCTTTTTCGTGTATGTTGTCTCCTTTTTTTGTCACTGTGTCTTTCCAAGAGGAACTGGCTGAGCTCCACAACTGGTTCGAGATCACTAAAAGCTGATATTCTCATTTGTTGAGCATGACCTGAAGCCCCAAGGTCAAACTCATGGCAATGGCTCAAGACTCTTGGCCACGGCTAATTGAGAAAGATTTGCCAATCTTCATGTTATTTGCAGCTGGAGAGATTCCTAGAATGGGAGATTTCTTATAGAGTTGAGGCTTTGTTCTATTAAGGCTTTTTTATATATGTGTGTGTGTATGTGTATATATATATATAAAAAAATATATACACAGAGTTTTGTCATGTTGAAGCAATGGCAAGTGATTCACGATACAATATTGTATGTAAGTGGTTTGTTAATTACCAGTCAGTGTGATGAAGGGATCTAGGACATGAGAACTTCTTGGGAAGTATATTTTACAGAGGTTATTGTCACATACCCTCTGCTGGTAAGTCACTCAGTATAAATCAGTTGATTTTGTTTATATGAAACTTTGATAAATCTCTTATTTTTAATTACATTTTAGTAACTGAAATAATTTTAAATTAAAATGAATTTATTTATGGCTGTAATAGACCTTATTTCACATAGTATGTGAAAGAGAATTGAAGTGTATATTCTATCATTATGTTAACGTGGCACGTGCTTTATATAGCTGAACACTGTTTTTGATGTCTACCTAACAGTTTTTAAATTATTTTTATGCAGGGGTTTATATTGAAGAAGTCCTAAATAAATGGAAAGGAGACTATGAGAAACTGGAACATAACCACACTTACATACAGTGGTTGGTCACTCATTACCTATTTCTGTTTCAAAGCATTAATTTGATTAAGTGTTCATATACTGTGAGCGGTAACGTGCTTTTTCTTTTAACAGGCTTTTCCCACTGAGGGAACAAGGTCTGAACTTCTATGCTAAAGAATTAACTACATATGAAATTGAGGTAATACAAATTGAGCTCAATATAAACCATCGCGTTAGATTCGATACATGACTGCTTTTTGTCATGTAGAATTGTTTTATACAATGCAGAAGTACTTGATTTGGTGCCACTTAGAATTTTGGACGTATTCTTTGTTTATTAGGAATTCAAGAAAACAAAAGAAGCAATTAGAAGATTCCTTTTGGCTTACAAAATGATGTTAGAGTTTTTTGGAATAAAACTAATTGATAAAACTGGAAATGTAGCACGAGCTGCTAACTGGCAAGAAAGATTTCAGCATTTGAATGAGTAAGTAATGACATGCACTGCACTCTCTAGAATTGCCATAGAATCTCTGTAGCCTTTTGTTTCCTAGAGAAGGGGAAGATGTATTTTCTGAAGATTGTCAGGAAAAAGAGGAAAAGAAATAGTCAATGGCTGGTGTCATTTTGTATGTGTTTGTATGTGTACGTTCCTCTTTCCCCTTTTTCTGTCTTGTGCTTCTCACCCATTACCAGTCTAACCAACATCAGTGAATTCCCTGAAAACACAACTGTGAATGGTGCTGAAGAAGATCGTGGTTCCAAATTGATTTGTCTGTCATGCTACTGAACACATTTTCACCTGATCCCAAAGCCCTGCTTCTCAGTTGGAAAGAATGAGTGGCTTATCTTTGTATTCACATTTCTTTTTGAGGAAAAAAAAAATTCTCCACAACTGTATGGAAGCTAAATAACAAGATTTCTCTCCCTCCTCAAAACATGAAATCTTTTGTATTTAATACTTTTTAATTGCATTGCTTAACTGGAGAGGTTTAGACATGCATTAAGTCAAACTTTAGCCCAACTTTCAGCAAATGACATTTGTCACTTTTCATCAGCGTTGTGGGGAGCATAACTTTGCATAATTTTGTTTCATCAAATTATTAATTTGATACAATTAATCCGCATAAAACAAAATTCAAAGTCTCTCTTCAGATCATTTGGTCTCTTTTGTAATACATCTGACCTTAGAGCTGAAGATTGTTTTCTTGCAGTATTTTGCACTCAGCTCCAAATGAAAGCTTGGAGGTAGGATTGCTGATGGATAATTTTGAGTGAATAATGGAAATAATTTGTTATTAATTTAACTCAGATATTATATGAGCCAACTCATGGATGTGGGCTCAGACTCAGGCCACAGATAAAACAGGGTTTCGGGAAGCCCAAATGTTACTTGCTGCACATTTTTACATTGTAATTCTTATATTCTCACCAGTGTGTAGCTTCACAGTTTTAAATCAGGAATTTTGACTCTTTAACTAATTTTAGCCATCTAAAATTTAGGCATTTAAGTTTTGCTGTTCACTTAAGTGTATTTTATAAGG